TTGGTGGAGGATGAGACCTTTACCTTTTCTGCGCCGATGTGACTTGTGGGTGGAAGGGCGGATGTACTTTGGCAGTCTATTCTTGCTGCGGTATGTGTCGATAGGAGTTAGTGTAGGGTGCCAGATTTATGATACCCGGATGAGATCAAGTCATGGATTGATTATTGTTAATTGGGATGATGAAATAAGTGCTTTAGAACTGTATGGTTCCTGAACGACGGTCACACAACTCTGTGCAGGTGTTGAGAAAATGGCATGGATGATATCATTTTTTAGCAGTCGCCTTGACATCGGCAAGATGATGCTTAGTTGCCATGGGGTGTCGTTCGGGGGTGCGTACGGTCAACATTTGGCTACGAGTCAAATCGAAAGCTCGAAAAACCGTTGTGACCAACATGCTTGTCAAATGGTTACGTAGTGTGACTCCTATGGGAGAGTTAGATGAACGTCCTATTTTGGGCACGCCAGTCGACCTACACGCCATGGAAAATGCGCATAAGTCAATTCTAGGTTCCAACGGATTTGCTCATTTCTATAGTATGTGAATGAATAAGGACTGGCCCCAAACATATCACTCGGGTTTTGATATTTTTTTTAAATTATGCAAATTAGGTAGATTTTGGCAATTTCACTATGCATTTCAGTGTCTGCCTACGTAGTCACAACAAGTATCTGCCTCACAAGAATCGATGGCTGGTGTTATCAATCATAATATCAGGAGTGAATAATAATGCTGAGAGGGTCTATGTCCCCCAGGGTGCTGCCAGAACGTACCCTGGGTACGTTTCCGGAACGTACCCTGGTACTATCTAATATGCCGGACCGTACCTCGCCTACTCCACTAACGAGTCTAGGGAGTCGCTTACGCCTACTCCGTAACTCTAACCCTAACCCTAACCCTAACCCTAACCCTAACTCTAACCCTAACCCTAACCATATCAGATAGTTACCAGGATACGTTCCGGTATACCGGACCGTACCCAGGGTACGTTCCGGCAGTACCCTGGGGGACATAGGCCCTATGAGCAATAATAATAGTGAATAATAATCTATTATTATTCACTCCTGATAATATCATTCATCAAATGCCATTACCAACCGATTCTTATCACTATAGTGTATGGTACATGGTGTAAACAGTATAAAGTTCGGTTATTGTGGGTACCGAAATCTGATTGCATGCCAGCTATATGCAAATATATTTTTTACTGAAATTCCGACCTTACAAAAACGACCCATTATCATTGAATAGAGTCATCAAGTAGGTACAAGCACTTCGGTTATCAGTACAAGCCAACTTTAGGATTATGTTCAAGCCTCTAGTGCAATACATATTATGTATATACATGAATATATACATTCATTCACGGTCTCAGACATGATAGCTGTCAGCACGTGTCCATATAGATGTGATCTGATGCTTTCAGCTGTTGTGCTGGAGTGATGTAATAATATGAATGAAGGACCCCTGTGTTACAATGATAACGCATGCCTTTGTGAGGCAGTGCTTGAATGTAGCTCATCATGAGCATGTTTGTAGGGAACTCAGCTGCCACATTACCGTGTAATTAATTTACACAGACCAGCAAACGCACCTGTTGTAGGTGCGGGTATATATCTGATGCTGCTCACGTTCGATGTAATGTTACCATGGCAACGCGTGCAACCACTGACAATGGTGAAAAAAGCCGACAAGATATAATTTCACAAGAATTTTCTATTGAAAATGATATAATATGTATGCGTTTCGAGTTATCTAGGGAAAACAACTTATTGTAAGTTAATGATAACATGAACCGATCAGCAGCCTAGGTATGTTAAGAATATCATATTGAATGAGTGAGATGCATACTTTCGCTGATGTACAGGTGAAAGTCAAGAAAGTCTAAAAGCATTTGCGCCATGCTCATGCAGCAGGCGGGGAAATTTTCCTCGACGCCATGCTCACACAGAATTGCAGGAAGAGGTACCGATGGGCTTATCACGTGATCAACACATCATTCACCATTCGGGATGATTACGTTGTGGAGGGATAACCTTTACTTTTTCTGCGCCATTACTGTGGTGGGGGTGTACCTTTGGCATCTATCTTCTGCGTATGTGTCATAGGATTTAGGTAGGAGTCCAGATTATGATACCCATGGATAATCATATTGATATTTTTAATTGATGATAATAATGCTTTAAGAGGCTTATGGTTTCCTACACGGTCACACGTACAACTCTGTGCAGGTGTGAGAAAATGGCATGGATGTATCATTTTTTAGCTCGCCTTGACATCGCCAAGATGAGCTATTGCCATGGGGTGTCGTTCGTCGTACGTCAACATTTGGCTACGGTCAACGATAACTCAAGAACCGTTTGACCCACATGTTTCAAATTGCATATAGTTGTTACTCATATGGGAGAGGTTTGAACGTCTTATTTTGGAACACGCCAGTCGACCTACACGCCATGGAAATGGCCATAAGTCAATTCAGGTTCAACGGATTTTGCTCATTTCTAGTATGTGAATGAATAAGGACTGGCCCCAAACACATCACACGGGTTTTGATATTTTTTTTAAACTATGCAAATTAGGTAGATTTTGGCAATTTCACTATGCATTTCAGTGTCTGCCTACGGTCAACGATAACTCAAGAACCGTTTGACCTACATGTTTAAAATTGAATACAGTTGTTACTTGTTACTCCTATGGGAGAGATTTGAACTTCCTATTTTGTAGCACGCCAGTTGACCTACTTTCGAGCCACGCCTACTTTTTGGCAAAAATGAAAATAGCCATCTAAATTCATTCGATTTTGTTAAATTTTGGTATGTGAATGTGTAAGGCTAGCCCGAAAACAGTTGCTGCTCCTATGGGAGAGATGACAACGTCCTATTACGTTTATTTCGTCTAACTGGTCAACAACTCTGCAATCATACCTATATACGTGTAATATTGTGTTTTAGATTTTTCGTTACAGTAATTTGAATGGAAAATTTTGTTGTTTTTATTTGCGCGATATTCGAAAACTAAAATGGCGATCATATAGGCGTAGCACCATCTCTCGTCAAGATTTCAGACTTTCAGATGTGAAACATTTATTTTCGCATCAAGACTTATGCATATTTCATTATCAAGAGTATATAATGAGAGATATGCTATATAATGGGAATTCTCCCATATATACTCTTGCTTTATATATCCCCCCTCCCTCTTCTATCACACCCAAGGTGAGCTAAAGTGTCATTGACACTTTCATTATTAGAAAGTAGTCAGTCAGGCATGTGCAGTATGATCGACACCCAGGAATAGAATTTACTCTCCCTCATTGATGATGTCCCAGCAGATTTTATGATCTGTCATGTTTCAGGTGATTTGAGGTTAGCAGTCACTGGAGCTGAGAGGGTCTATGTGCCCCAGGGTACTGCCGGAACGTACCCTGGGTACGGTCAGGTATGCCGGAATGTACCCTAGTACTATCTAATATGCCGGACCGTACCTCGCCTACTCCACTAACGAGTCTAGGGAGTCGCCTACGCCTACTCTCTAACCCTAACCCTAACCATAACCATATCAGATAGTTACCAGGGTACGTTCCGGTATACCGGACCGTACCCAGGGTACGTTCCGGCAGTACCCTGGGGGACATAAACCCTATGAGCGTCACTGGATCGCTGGCGTTGCTGTAGCACACAGCTACTAACTGCTAGTTATATGAGTGCCTGAAAGTGCTGATTGAACTTGTGCAGTTGTCTCTCATATTCATTTTGTTTCACATCTCATGTTGATGCCATAGCATAATATTCCTTATGACAACATCCCGTGATGCTCTATAACTATAACTATACTACATACAGGCTCCTCGCCACAGAGTGCGCGTGCGTGTACATTCCATTTCACATTAAGGCTGTAAGCGATGCTGATTACATCGTAGGTACATGCACGATTTCACGTGCATGTTCTGCTAAATCATGAATATTCTACCCCATATGAAGAACCCTACCAGTCTTAGAACTGCGAGCGATGGGTAAATCTGGATGGATCCTAGATGATAGAACACGTCTCAACGTCGAACATTTAACCTTTTCAGGCCGAACCACTGACGACGTAACAGCCACTAACGCAGCTTCGTTCGACGCGCTATAACGACTCCAGTATTAGACACGACGCTCTGCTGAAGGTAAAATCAGTCACATGAAGTCATGTCTATCGTTTGCGTGCACTATAACGTTGTCAAGTCAAGTTTACCGTTAACCTAGCTGCATGGACATGTTGTTGGTCCATGTCTCTGGCCATGATTCCCCATCAACTTTTAAAAGAGTTGTTGAGGGATCATGGCCAGAGATGTAATCACTACGTTTTGTAAACCCTACTTGAGTTCGTTGGGGGTTGTCAGCATGGAAGTATATTTTAAGGTGATTACGTCACTGTAAATAGTAAAAGTAAAAAAAATCATGTCCACTTTTTCACAAAATGTAAGCGATTCTGTTCACTTTCTATGGTTAAATTGCTGCATTATAATTCCTATTTTGCTATGCCGTTCGATGTGAACAAACACTCGTGACTCATACATCCATAGCAAGCATTTAATGTCATGATCAATATAGCAAATCGCCCAGGTTTTTTTGGATGTTTGACTAGTTGGGAAATAATCCTATCAGTATCAGGTAAGAATTTGAGGATACATTTAGTCCCGTTAGTACTTACTTTTCATGTAAAAAAATTGCAACAAAAAGTTTACAAATATACACCATAGAAAATTCGTGACGTGGTCAATTTAAGTATGTTTTTATGTGCCAAGGCTGTTGTTCGTTTATGACCTGTATCATCCACAGCGTCAGTTGTAGTTCATGCAGTTCGGTCTGTCCGAATGCCAGGCCATTATGGCGATTGTTTTTAAAGGTCCGGTCCGGTCTGTTGACTCAGAATTGGTGTGCAAATAGATTGCATTATTTCGTGCCTTATACGATGCCCCGATGCATTAGATTCACTACTTAGTACTATTTATATATATTACATTATATTATATGTAGTTATTCACGACTATTTCACACTGTACCCTTGTGTTTACATGTCCAGAAATTTCATGTAAGGTATCATGTTTAAAAATATATTAACATTAATGTCCGCTACACCTATCTTCAGTGCATGATCTGTGTTTTTAAACGTTGTATTCTACTAGCTTTTCAGGTCGTTGGCTCTAAAGCATTGAGTAGTTGCTGGATAAAGAGTATTGTTAGGTAAGTAATATAAGGAGTATGTGCTTTAATTATTATTAGCTCATCTGACGAGGTCAGATGCAGCTTGTAGAATCGCATGAATGTCCGTCCGTGCGTCCGTGCGTCCGTCAACAGTTGGGCACAAATCTTAACCGCTCGACGTACGGTCACGGTATTCGGGACGCCGGGGGGGGGGGATTGTGAAAAGGACTCAGGATGACAAATTTGGGGGTCAAGGGTCAAAGGTCAAGATGTGTAAACGGAGGGGGCATATTTCCCTCTTAACTTAAGGTATAGGAGGAAATACGGAATTGCGGCACAAATCTGAACGGGTCGACCTATGCTCTTAATATTCGGTATATTATAGTGTGATGGGCAGGAAACCCATCACCAGTGCGAAATTGGAGGTCACGGGTCAAAGGGCAGTGGGGGAAAGGTCAGATATCAGACATTTTCTGAGGACATGGCCTAATGAACAGAGTGAAAAACTTTTTTGTTTCAGCACTGACCTACCATTTTTATCACTTTATTGAAAGGACCAGGAAATGTGCTTTCCACTGACGTGCGAAGAGTAAGTGTCTGATAACCTTTTGACCCTCAAGAGGAGGGTTAAACATGGTTTCCTGAACTGCCTCAATGACATGCTGTCATATTCATGGCACATCCATAATCTAGAAACCCAATAAGCCTGCATGGATAGCCGAACGCGTACAGCACGGGCGTCACGGCTGAAAGGGCGTTGGATCGAATCCCATCTGATTTGTTATTATTTACCTGTTTTCTGTATTTTTCTATCTTTATCCATTTAACTATTTTTTTCCAATTAACGCAAATATTTACATGAGTTATTTACAACAATTTAATAACAAAATTTTTTTTTTACAACAATTAATTTTATTTTTATTTTTTAATAGGGTTAGGGTTAGGGTTGGGGTACGTCACAATGCACCATAAAACAGGAGTTTCAGGCACGCGATTTGTATCAACCAATGGGATTTGGGAGGTATGCAGAATGCAGAAGGTTGCTGAAATGATGTGTACGCAACTGCGTATCTGCATATGTGCACCTAACAAAGGTGTCACTACGCACAACTTAAATGTTACGTTTATAATCGTAGCAACAGCCCTCAGATGAGCCCAGACACTCTGCAGCTCTTGTTAAAGTGATTATGTCACGAATTTCTAGCACCATCAAGTAGTATATTTGTGTGTTATTTATACAAAATAAAATGTATGAAAATACAATTAGTGTTTCTGTTTACTTTTCATGCTTATATACCTTCTTTATATGCCCTAATTTGTCGGTGAAAAACCGAGAGCCGCCAGTATCTGAACAGTACTGGGGAAATAGTGTTAGACAACAGAAATGACTAAATCGTCTAGATCTTTGCAAATTTAACCAACGTAAAAACATTTTTATCAGACGAGAGTTTGAGGATATATTTAGTAACGTTAGTTCTTACTTTTAATGTAAAAAAAGTGCAATTTTTTTTTTACAATTTTTACCATAGATAATTCGTGACGTAGTCAATTTAATGTAAACATTGATGAAAATTAGGTACTGATAATAGTACATGGCTTACATTCTATCGATCTATCTCTTTATCTATCTATCTGTCTACCTATCTATCTATCTATCTATCTATCTATCTATCTATCTATCTATCTATCTATCTATCTATCTATCTATCTATCTATCTATCTATCTATAAATAATAATGTATATATATATATATATATATATATATCCATCCGTCCATCCATCCATCTCTCTCTCTCTCTTTCTCTCTATGTCTCTCTGTCTCTCTCTCTTTCTTTCAGTTTTTGCCTGTTTGTCTGTATGTCTATCTGTCCGTCTGTCTGCCTGTCCGTCCACCTGTCTCTTTGTCTGTCTGTCTGCCTGTCTGCATGTCTGTCTGTCTGTCTATTTATCTGTCTACAATAGGTTTGTTATAGATAGGAGTATAATACTAATATAAGGGAAGGAAAGAAAGTGAATGAGGTAGGTGATGGGATAGGTAGAAGGTAAAGAAGTATAGAAAGAGAAGGTGGATGAAGCAGAGGTAGTGTGTTTCGCATGCACCAATGATATATACACTGCGTGGCTGTGAAATGTATGAATAAACAGGCTTCGGCCCCCTGTGCGTCACACCTGTGTATAGCTATTATAGGTGGTAAATAACAGTAGAGTATGGCATGTATTTTGTTTCATAATTCGATTTTTTGTTTTATTGTTGATATTTATCACAATATAAACATTCAACTGATCGACCATGTTCGATTCACGATCAGAATGATTCGATTCACGGATCAATGATTGATTCACGACGAAATGATTCGATTCGCGGATCGAATCATTTTGAAGTCCGTGGATCGAAATTAGAGGAAGAGGACGAGGTTATTAATGCAGAGGGAGAGATAAGATGTGCAGGAGGAAGGAGAGAGGTAGAGACGAGGAGAAGGTAGTGGGGAAGGAGGAGGGAAGGGGTGAGGTAGAAGAGGTAGAGCACGAGGGAAAAAGGTAGTGAAGTGAGGAGAGAAAGGGAGTAGGTAGAAAAGGGGGACGGAAGGAAGGAGAAAGGGTAACAGAAGGAGTCAGGACGAGGGTAGAAGTGGTCGAGAGGAGAGGTAGAAAGTTGTGAGAGAAGGAGTAGAGGAGGGAGGAGGTTAGAGAGGGAGAAAGTGTGAAGGGCGGGGGAAGTTGGAGATAGGGAAGAAGGGAAGTAGTGAGAGGGGGAGAAGTAGAAGAGGGAAGAGGTGACGAACGATGGTGGAAAAGGTGGAGAGGTAGAGGAGAGGGAGAAGGTAAAGAGGGAGTAGTGTAGAGGATGGTGGGGAAGAGACGGAGAGTAGAGGGGGAGCCAAAGTGGGAAGAAGGAGGGGGAGGAGTGAGGGTAGACATGTGGTGGGGAGGAGGTAGAGAGGGAGAGTGAGGGGGAGAATGTGGTGGAGGGGAGGGGGAGTTGGGAGATAGGGGAGAGAGAAGTAGTGGAGGGGGAGAAAGTAGAAGAGGGAGAGTCGAAGAATGTGGCAGAAGGGAGATATCAGAGGAGGGAAGAAGGTGAAGAAGGAGTAGGTAGAGGATGGTGGAGAATAACGGAGGAGTAGGAGGGGCAAGAAAGTGGTGGAGAGTGAGGGGGAGGAGGGGGAGAAGTGGTGAAAAGGAGGGAGGAGGAGGAGGGGGAATAGTGTGAGAGGCGAAGGAGTGGAAGATATGAAGAGAGAGGTAGATGAGGGGAGAGGTGAAAGGGAGATGTAGAGAGGAGGTGGTAGAAGGGAGGAGGTAGAGAGAGTGGAGAATGTTGAGAAGTAGAGGCGGGGAGAACTGGGAGAAGAGGGGAGAGTGCGAAGATGAGTGGGAGAAGGCGTGGTGAGGGACGGATGGGAGGGAGGGGTCGAGGTAAGTGAGGTGAGTGAGAGAGGGAGGGAGAGAGGGAGGAGGATCGGTGGAGTGATGAGAGGAGGGAGGGGGTCGGGCGTCTTGTGCTCACCGACCCGGCTCGCAGATGCACAATATAGTTGTAAGGCGGGCAAGATCCCGAACACGCCAGGGAATGATCGGGATGCGGGAACGCAACGTGGTCAGAGGGGAATGTATAAAACAGAGACGGGAAGGTCAGCGGTCGGGTCTGAGATCAAGTGGCGTGGCTCGGACAAGACAGAGCCGGCCAGCCGGAAAGCACGTAATTCCGTGATCGAAGCGAATTCGATCCATGAATCAAATCATTCGATCCATGAATCGAATCATTGATCTGTGAACTCGAAGTATTCGATCTGTGAATGAAGCATTTGATACGTGAATCGAATCATTTGACGCTGAATCGAATCATCGATTTCGTGAATCGAAGCATTCGATCTGTGAATCGATATGCTGATCGCAGATCGAATGATTTGATCCAAAACTCGATTGGTTTGATGATGCCAGCAATCGAATGGTTTGATTCTCTTTCTGATATAAAATCAATAAATGAACATTTAAAACAGGAATTATTGTCGATTTATTGCATATAACATAATATGATTTAAATAAAAATATTATATATGACTAGCTGGAACGCCGCGCTACGCGCGGGCTTAGTGACTGTGATGCATGTGTTACCAGTACAGTAGTGTTATGTGTAATGTGTTATATGGAGAGTTTAGTTGTTGCACATGTTTGTTTTTTTATGGTTTAGATGTCAATAGAAATACATGTACATCATGCTTACACGTAACACATTAACATTTTTTGGCAAGTACACAGTGAAATACACACACCCACACAGAAATGTTTTATTGATTGCTATGTACTGGTTGATGATACGGACTCCAAAGTTAGAATATAGATAGATGTGAATGGGCTGGTAGGTCGGGCGACTGATTAACCACGTTGTGCCGTAGCACGTAATATTACGCGCTTTCGCATGTTCCACTGTGTGCGACCAGGTAAATATTGCGTGTTGTGATCGCTTATTTCTACGCATGTTTGCACTCTGTGCGGACGACGTAATATTACGTGCTTGTGATCCGGACCGCTTGTGACGCTGCATAGGGTCTGTCCCCCAGGGTACTGCCGGAACGAAACCTGGGACGGTCCCCGTATACCGGAACGTACCCTGGTCACTATTTGATATGGTTAGGGTAGGGTTAGAAACTTAGGGTTAGGGAGTAGGCGTAGGTGACTCCCTAGACTCGTTAGTGGACTGTAACCCAGGGTACGTTCCGGCAGTACCCCGGGAACATACACCCTCTCAGCCGCTTGTGACAGCTCGCTGTTCACTGACACCAGTCGCACGGCCCGCACAGCATTGCAGACTTCCAAAAAAAAATTCTGCTCTGATGAATTCAACTTGTACATCTCATATGAGAAAACTATGCGAAATAGGCTACTGAATATTTACTTCATTACATGGTTCGGTCTACTTACATTATTGGGCTTACAAAAATCTCAGACACACAGACACAGAACCACTCATCTCTATAATATAATCATATATTATAGAGATAGATCATAGATTATATATTATATTATAGAGATCAGTGCACAGAACACAGAACAAAACGAAATAGAAACAGAACGAAAACAAAACAGCGCCCCCTATTTTCAGGCAAATATTTACCTTTTTTTTTTTTTTTGTTTTTTTAAAGACAGAACAAACGGTTTTCAACCGAGTATAGTTTAGAACCCGTCCCGTGTACTCATCGATCTCTTCTGTGAGTTTGGCGCTATTTGGATCCAAACTGGCGGAGCCTTTCATTAACATAAATACATACATACATACAACATTCGCCGAATTATAGTAAGATAAATCAAATGTTATATATGCAATAAATCAAATGTTATATGTGATAAATCAGATGTTATATGTGATAAATCGAATGTTATATGTGATAAATCGAATGTTATATGTGATAAATCGAATGTTAATAGTGATAAAAATCAACCATAAACAAAATCGAATTATGAAACAAAAAACATGCCATATAGTACTAGTAGATGCCGTATAGTAGATGCCAACTAATAGTAGAGGGCGTACATAGGCGGCAGGCCTGAATAAGCACCGAACATAAATTAATTAAAAATACTCAACACTGTTACTGTCGCTTACACAACATACCCCTTTATCAGTTAATAATACGAGTTCCATGCTCTATCTCCGGCTCGAAACTTTTGCCAGCTCTATGATGCGAATTTCTGCAAAGTTGTCTGAACACATTTCAAACGCAAAAATGACCAACCGGTTGCTGTGGCTACGCCACCTGACGGATTGTCACGAATACACAACAAGACCAATTTTACTTCTAATGCCTTCTAGACGTCTACGAGGCATCTAACTTGCGTGCATAATGCAAATTACTGCACTCTAGTGCCGAATTTCGTGGGGGAAAAAATGCCAAAAAAGGCTTTTTCTAGAGACGAAATAGTGCAACATTGGTGAACAATTTGCAGAGGCTTACTGTTGTATGCCTCTTATACACACATATGCGCACGCACGCACGCACGCACATACACAGCCAATGCATGGGCACGAACGATATGGATGTAAATTAATATACAGCATATATATATATATATATATATGTGTGTGCGTGCGTGCGTGCGTGCGTGTGTTTGCATATATGTATAAGGAGTGAAGAAAAACAAAGCAGTGTGATGCATGCACAATATATTGCCAGAGGCTCTGATTCTATGGTGGAAATTTTCGAAAACTCTATCGTGCGTTTTTATCTATATCTGCAGATGTTGAATGTGTATCAGAAAACCAATTACTTATGATCCTAGGGCAATGTTAACGCTAAGGGAATGTTTGCGGTAGCCTTTGAGCACAGGTTTATTGAATTTAACATGACAAATCCTAAATAGATTAGGGCCAGCCAGCGTTGGATTTTCAATAATTTTGCCTTGCAGTGTTGCACACTCTTGTTTTTATTTACTCTTGATATATGTATATATTTATATATACTGTATATAAATGCGTATCTATGCCGTTGTTGACACTACACTGATGCTTGCTAGAGCAACCATGAGATATAATATTATTATTATTATTATTAATTCTTTATTGCATTAATTCAGATACAAATACATGTACTGACGACAGTTTTTTTCATGGAGAAAAAATCTGATAAAAGCAATAGTGTTGAGTATAGTTAAAATGATAAAATATCTGACGGATACAGTACAATTACAATGCTATACAACATGAAGAAAAAATATATACAAAAAAAAACTTTAGCATATTCTGTACTAGTAAAGTGTTTAAGACAACATGAAGAAAAAATAGATACCAGAAAAAAACACTTCGGCAGAGTCTATACAATTATAGTAATTAAGGTACACTTTAACATCATTTTGACACTCATACATACACCGTTATATACATATTACACACGCTTCTCCACTTCCCCCTCCTGCTCCACATCCCCCTTTTCGACCTTCCCTATATCTCTCACTCCTCCTCCTCCCCCTCCTTCTCCTTCACCTAGCTCGATCTCCATTACCCCCATTCCGCCTCCCCCTTTTATGTACACGCGGCTGCCGAGTATATATAGCCGCTAATTCCCACAAATCTAGTAATGCCTTTTTGATAAAAAAAATATAATATAGTATTCTAGAGTTATAACTTTTATTCCACGCAGATTTCTTAGTGCAAGTTTATATGCATGGCTAACGTTTATTGATGGTTGGCACAACGTTTAATTTTACAACCTCCAAACAGTACCTAAACTTTCAGTACTGGTTTCTAATGCCGCTTTTATACTGCGCACGACTTTAGCCCGCTTCTGAAGCGCGATAACTTTAGCTCGGGATAAATCGTTTTATACTGCTGAAGCGGGATAACTTTAGCTCGGGATGAGTCGTTTTATACTGCGCAAGACTTTAGCCCGCTTCTGAAGCGGGATAACTTTAGCTCAGGATAAATCGTTTTATACTGCGCACGACTTTAGCCCGCTTCTGAAGCGGGATAACTTTAGCTCGGGATAAATTGTTTATACTGCCTGAAGCGGGATAACCCTTTTAGCTCGGGATAAATCGTTTTATACTGCTGAAGCGGGATAACTTTAGCTCGGGATAAGTCGTTTTATACTGCCGTTCTCGACCACCCGAGTTGCGTGCGTGACCGGCGTAATTGTCATGGTAACCTCACGTCAACAACACTTGTTTTATCAGTTCCACGCCAAATTTTAACCATTCTGATACCGGTAGCTAGAATGCTATGCTTCTCGTAATATGATCTCGATCTGCGTTTAATTGGATATCGTTTGACAATGGAGTCTATGGACATTATGCTGATCTTTGTGGTGCTAACAGCTAACATTGGACATTGTCTGCAATTGCTGCTAGCCATGGATCCGCATTCCGGTTCGCGCGTCACGCGTCACGTGCCATTTAGAGCGGGCTAAAGTCGAGATACGTTTATACTGACGTTAGCTCGGGTCTGAAGCGGACCTGAACCACCCCCTAGAGCGGGATAACTTTAGCTCGGGCTAAGGGTGTTTCGACCTTTTATACTGGGGTTTATCCCGCTTCGGGTCCGGACCTGAAGCGGGATAAACCCCAGTATAAAAGCGGCATAATAGGTGCATATATATGTGCAGCAAACGTTTGTTTCTAATCATATAAAAACGTTAAATTATATGGTTAGTGTAACGTTCATGACTAACGTTTGTTAATGGTTACGACAAAGTTTATAAATAACGTTTATTTTCACCACCTCGGAACAGATAAACGTTCAGTACTATAGTTTGTAATTAATAGGTGTGCAGCTAACGTTTGTTTCTAACCTATATATAACTTTATTTATAACGTTTGATGAACGCGCGCGTTCTTAGAAGGTTTAATTCCAACCAAACCAAAATAAAACCAGATCATAACGTTAGGAAAACGTTATGTGTTAGCTGGGTATATACCCAACATGAAGTGGATTCGGTTAACACCTGATTGGCTATGGGTATGTGCTTCAAACGACTGTATCCAGAGACTCTATTAAATATAATGACCGATTGATTCTGGCTGCTCAATCACTGGCCAATCTTAAACATTGACCATGCAGTCTTCAGCGCTTGACAATCTGTCTTGGATCAGTCTCAATTACTTGTTGATCAGTTGAATCAGTCTTGATTGCTTGTCGATCGGTCTTGAATCTTGTTGATCAATCTGGATCAGTCTTGATTGCTTGTTGATTGGTCTTGGATCAGTCTCGAATCTTGTTGATCGGTCTTGAATCTTGTTGATCAATCTGGATCAGTCTTGATTGCTTGTTGATTGGTCTTGGATCAGTCTCGAATCTTGTTGATCGGTCTGGATCAGTCTTGATTACTCGTTGATCAGTCTCGATTGCTTGTCGATTGCTTAGGATCAGTCTCGATTGCTTAGGATCAGTCTTGTTGATCAGTCTCGATTGCTTGTCGATTGCTTAGGATCAGTCTCGATTGCTTGTCGATTGCTTAGGATCAGTCTCGATTGCTTGTCGATTGCTTAGGATCAGTCTCGATTGCTTGTCGATTGCTTAGGATCAGTCTCGAATCTCGATTGCTTGTCGATTGCTTAGGATCAGTCTCGATTGCTTGTCGATTGCTTATAAGCAATCGACAAGCAATCGATGTGTTCGATCGCTTGTGAGTTGCTTAAATTTTTGTAAGGGTGCACACCATAGGGTAAACGGTAAGAGTCATTGATATATATATAAATGAAGTGCAATTCTAAAAGCAGGAGGCCGTATGTATACTATATATATACTAGCATATTATGCTAGTGCATGTGGGGTTGGGTGCTAGGCGACTTGGATTCTGTGAAGGTGGGCTTTTCTATTTTGTATGTGTGATCGTCACTTTACTGTTACCTCTAATTGTTGTTTCAGCTGTCAGCTGAGCTGCATATGGGAGGACCTGTCTTGCAGAGGGTTTGTGTGAGAGAGGATGTCAGCCTCCAATCCTGGCATCGGCATGATGATGAGGCCGAGCTTGGATTCTCTCTCGTTCCAGGCTAGTAGAGACAAGGATGCCACGGCGGTAAGTGTCACACACCGTGCTTATCAACGTAGTAGCTGATGCTGGTACGAGGTATTGTTGTTATGGTTTGATTGTTGTTTGCTGTTGTTGTCAATTGTCGTCATTAGTGACGTCGCTGTTGTTAGTGCTGGTGTTAAATTTGTTGAATTGCATTTGTGACGCAACAGGTGGTGCCCTCTTCTACTGTTGTAGCCGGTAGGTAGTAGGACGAAGGTTTCGATATATTGTTTATTTGGCTGGTCTGGTTTTTGGTTGTGGGACCTCATAGCAATTCCGTCGCCTGTTGTTTGAACAGCAATAAGGAGCTGTCGTTAGGCTCCTATACTTCCTTCATAGTTGCAGGGGAAGAGCATTGCAAATAATTGGGATTGTTCGATACAGCACCAAACTGTGTGATCAATAGCCGCTTGTGTGAGTAAAGTGAGAAGTCACTGCTATTCGAATTTCGGTAGCTATATTTGCTAGTAATTTAGATGTGATAAGAGGTAGTCTCCTTTATCTCTTTCTGAGCATGCCATAACTGGCATGGAAGCACAATAATTAAAAGGTGATTATCTGAAGATTGTTTACGACTAGTAGAATGTCCTGAGGGTTATCAGAAGAATACGTGCGTGTTGGGGGTTGATTGGCTGTTTCATGGTTGATAACGATTAAGATTAAACTAAACAACAATAGCTATTCTGTATATAATGCATCTACCAGTTGGTACATTAATAGTAGGATAGGTCTCATAAAAAGTTGAAGTTGTTTTAAAAGTGAAGGCAGTTAAAGTAACGATTAGGTAAAGCATCCCTCTGTAGAAGCTAAAAAGCACTAGTGCACCAAATCGCTTGCGTGATTATCAATAATTTTTAACAAGAGAGGGAGCCACGTGTAGCAGTAAGAATATAGATATTCTGTAATTGATTTATATGTGCGTTGATTGTTATGAGCGTGATGATTATGATCATGTGCGTTGATAATCATGAGTGAGACCACGGTTGTCATAATATGCGTTACCTATATAGCTCGTTAAAAGCATAGGATAAGAAAAGATAAGAGAGTTTATTTTATCACTTTCAATATCAGCAGATACAAGGATTTTTTTAACAAAATATAAATAACGTGCTGTGAAGGGATGGCGAAAAGACCATACGGTCATCTAGTCAGCCAACCCTTAGAGAAATTAATTAAGTATAATGGCATCTGTCATAAGAATAAGATGTATGATGAGAAATATTTGAACAAAATGTTTGTATGATAACAATAAAACAAAAGCAAAATTGAACATAATTGGAAATAGAACAAGCAGCAGACAAGAAGTTATGTACAAAATATGTTGGACACATATAAGTGAAATATATGTAGTAATCAGTACAGTACAGTAATCGAATATTTACATGTTAATAAAGAATAATTACTTAAGCATGGTTTTAGTAGCTTTAGCGTATCTATATTTATAATTATGTGTAGAAAACATTACCTCTCGTAAGTTGTACTCAGTTTGCACTTGAGTGGCAGTCGCTATAGCCACTTACCTCACTATTGTGCTAATTTTCGTCTTGGTCCATCTCTTGTATTAAACTTTATAAAGGATGTTATACATTCAAAGCTATATTTTCTTAGTAGGAATACGTTTGAAAACAGCAAAAAGTCAGCAAGCAAGTCTAATACAACTATTGTGGTAATTATTTTGACTTGGGTTGCCACAATAGCAACATCTATTAATTTATTTTCATAGATTGTTTCACTACACATGCCTGCATACACTTATACATTATATATTGTATTTATCAGCAAAACTACTGATAATAGTCTTATATATAGATGTTCCATGTGAATTTCATGTTTGAAATGTAATCGCAATTATGGGCACTATATGTGCATGAGGATAGAATACAAAACCCTGCCAATTATATACTACTGATACACAGTAGATCTGATGCATGTCTGCAAGGGTTTTCATTGCCTAAATATATTTTCTGCATCAACACTCTTTTCATAACCAACTTTTTCGGAACAACTATACTCTTGGTTTTTAGAAATGCTAGTGATTGATGATTTGAAATCCAGCAATACCCTATAACACAATGACGAATAATACATTAGAAAAAAAACAAAGCGAGCAAATGTAATTTAATGCCTATAGGTGTGTGTGTGTTTGTGTGTGTGTGTGTGTGTGCGTGCGTGCGTGCGTGCGTGCGTGCGTGTGTTTACGCGCGCGTATGTGCGCCCAACACGGAGAGCCGGCTCCGTACTCTGAGAACAATATATTTGTTCAAGATCAATGTACGGGAGTGGCCACTTGTTTGAAAGCACATTGACTCGACTTAATAGCTTGACAGAACGTGGAGAAGATGATAGATTTAGTGTGTCATTTTGTTGCAAGTGTGCGTTTGCTTTCGTAGAAATCGCATTGATTTTTGCTGGAATGACGTCAGACTGCTTCTGGTATAACTACCCTAGCTGGTATGCATCACAAAAGCTTTATTCGATCATCATTACATGGCTGTAATTTGAACTGTGATGCGTGGAAACGTGCATTATTATTTTTTAAATACTTGTAAACATTGTGCGCGTGTGCCTGAAGGTGCTCAGAACTTTGCCTGAGTGTGAATGAGCTGCCATAGATATATGAGTATATATTATGGAGTGATATATATATTAACGGTTTGCAGTGTCGGCGAACAGAATGTTATTTAACAACAGAGGTTCGCCAATCGTGAGTGAATGAAGTCGCGTTCGACAGAGCGATTAATTCTGCTGAACGGCCGGTTTGTCGAATAGCGTTTCAATTAACTAGTTTCTACGTGCGCGTTGAATGAGCTATCGTCTATGGCTTCTCACGCGCGCCGAGGAACAGCTCACTAGCATATCTCTCATTGCGGTGTTCAGTGCACTCACTCACTCACTCACTCACTCACTCACTCACTCACTCACTCACTCACACACTCACTAACTCACTCGTTCGCTCATCCACCCACCCACCCACTCACTCACTCACTCACGTACTCACTCACTCGGGTGAGAAAACCCCTAATTAAGTCGAGCTCGCTGGTCCATTCGCGCCGGCTCATTGATTCCGTGACGAGAGAAGACCGGCCGCGATAATTGCGGCGCTATAAGTTCCTATATACGCGCTCGGCCCGCCCGCGCGCTGACGTTCGATGATGAGTGATAATTATAATATGTAGGGAGCGAGCATCACGGGACGAGCTAGCGCGGCGTGGAGTGAGACTGAGCAGAGCAGTCGGCCAAGTAGCATCCCCGCATCGCATCACGCGGCCGCAGCGGATACGCCAGCCTCATCGTGTCGCTGGTAGCAGGGCTCATCGGGGATCAGCAGCAGTAGTAACCGCAGCCGCAGCAGCAGCAGTACCACCACCAGCACCAGCAGCCGCAGAAGCAGCAGCAGTAGCACCAGCAGCAGTAGTAGCAGTAGCACCAGCAGCAACCCCAGCAGCAGACCGGAGCAGGCTACAGTCCACGGAGTGAAACCATCGCGGTCCGCGAGAGCAAAGTGCGGGTCGCCGGCATCATACGCACACGCGCGCGCGCGTGCCCGGGCGGTAGCAGCGGCCGGCGGCGGATGCAGAGGTAGTCAGACAGGCGAGGCGAGACAAAACGAAGCAGGAGTAAGAGGAGGAGTAGGAGGGGGAGGAGGAAGAGGAGAAGGAGTAGGAAGAGGAAGAGGAGGAGGAGGAGCAAGAAGAAGAAGAAGAAGAAGAGAGAGAGAGAGAGAGAGAGAGAGAGAGAGACGAGAGAGAGACGAAGAGAGAGACGAAGTACGTAGAGTACGTAGTAGTACGTAGTA